CAAAGTTCATTTAAAACGGTCTGAGGCAAAATAGAAAACTGTTCTGTGGTCAGATGAATCAAAATTTTGGAAACCACAGACGCCATGTCGTGCGGACAAAAGAGGATAGGGACCATCCAGCTTCTTATCAGCGCACAGTTCAAAAGCCTACATCTCTGATGGTATTGATGGTATCGGGTTACATTTGTGCCTATGGCGTGGGCAGCTTACACATCTGGAATGGCACTATCAATGCTGAAAAGTATATAGAGGTTTTACAACAACATATGCTCCCATCCAGACAACTTCTCTCTCAGGGAAGGCCTTGCATATTTCAGCAAAACAATGCTAAACCATATACTGCATCCATCACTCCAGCATGGCTTCACAGTAGAAGAGTCTGAGTGCTGTACTGGCCTACCTGCAATAGAAAATATTTGGCGCATCATAAAACTAAAAATTGGTTGAAGAAGACCCAGGACTGTAGAGTTGCTAGAATCCTACATCAGACAAGAGTGGGACAACATTCCTCTCCCAAAACTTCAGCAATTGGTCTCCTCACTACAAAGACGTTTACAAACTCTTGTTAAAAGAAGAGGGGATATTAAACAATGGTAAACATGGCCCTGTCCCAACTTTTTTGAGATGTGTTGATGCCATAAAATTCAAAATAAGCCAATATTTTTCATGAAATGGTAAAATGTCTCGCTTTCAACACCTGATATGTTGTCGATTTTCCATTGTGAATTAAATTTCAGTTTATGAGATTTGCAAATCATTGCATTCTGTTTTCATTTACATTTTAAGATTGCAATTAATAACTTGCCTGCTCATCTAACATCTCATTCCAAGATCACTAGTATAAATGAGGAATTGGTCTTCGCAGCTATAACATACTTTTCTCCTCGGGGACGGCTTTCCACAGATGGTTTAAAGGGGACCTATTATGCTGATCCTTCTTTTAATACATATAGGTAATGTTATAATGTTGGATGTCCATACTCAACCTCTGAAAAGTTTCTAAACATAAGATACAGGGGTTTTGCCGTAATCCAAGAACGTGATTTCGTGAACGTGATTTCCTCCCTGAACAGCTCGTCCCGAGATGTTCACGAGATCTGTGCAAAACCTGACATCAGGTTGTGCCGTCCAATTAAAACAGACCTAGCCAGAGCCAATCACGGCGCTGGACCTGCCCACACTGGAAACTATTCCAGCAGGCACTATTAACGGCAGATCATACTATGCTTTAGTAGCGTCTACACTTTTGGAAATACAAAAGAAGAACCGCAGATCATTTGAGGTGCAGTTTTGTCAGAATGTCTCCCAAAGCTGCTTGTCCGTTTACTTTTCAACGCGAAGAAAAGCACCTATTTCTCCTCCAAAAGATGATGCCACCAGAAATCAGTGGGTAGCTTTTTTTGTTTGCTGGCGGCAAACAACCACGGCCAAAGGGAATGTCAGCTTTTTGCGCTCAGCATTTCACCAAAGCCAGCTTTGTCAATAAAGGATAATTCCACACAGGATAAGCCTTTCAGCTGCTTCTCAAACCTGAAGCAGTTGCATCGATCAAGCGCTCGGAGCCTCAAGCTGTAAGTAACGATATAACAGCAAATAATGTAAGTGAAGCTAACGTGTTACAGGCAGCTAGCAGGACCGCTAATGAATGATAGCAATAACAACTGGCCTCAAACGCAGGCTTTGTAGAATATCTGAAGATAAAGCCTGGATCGGTCGCGACTGCCCCTGACTCACAGATGCGGAAGCAGTAAGTTGCTTTTACTGCATAAGCCAACCTGACGTGATAGCCAGTTGATTTTGGCTTTAGCACTACGGCTAACGTAGCCAAGTTACTGTTGCTAATGTTTGTGTCTTAAATATGCAAGAGTAATATCAGTGGAAATTCTACAGAAGGTGTGTGAACATAAACCTCATTTGAAGCTAACTTTTAATACTTGTTTGTAATTTGGATGCTTGGTACAACAGTCCACGGTAATGGAACTTTCTGTCTGTAAAACCTGTATTGCAAGGGTTTGTCTTTGTGGTCGTTATGACCGCTCGGTTACCATATTTCTAAATCTATTCCATTATCGTCGCTGGTTATGCGTGAGGTGCCCTCTGGCATTGGAAAAGAATCTTATTCCGTGGCAACAATAAAGCAAGGGTCAAAAAGATAAAGGATTCAATAATTATAGGAAAATAATTCCTCTGTTTTTGATGCTTGACTCGGCTTGTAACCAATTCTATTTTCAGAGCTGAGCTCTTCCTCAGTCGTATAATTACTTAGCAAGGCTTTCTCCTGATTTTGATCCTGGAACTTTGGAAACTCCGTCCTTAAGCCCATCTGGAACCGGTCCCAGTCCAGTCACTAATAGAACTGCTCCTGACCTGAACTCTGAGTCCGAGGATTGAATCTGCTATGTTGAAGACAACGACAGAGATAAAGATAATATTCATAAGGAATGGTTGGGCTCCTTCATATTTAAAGCTTTTGATTCAGCTTTGACACCGTTTTCTAAATTTTGTTTGTTTTTCCAAGGTATTCCACTGTATCCAGTGTTAATTTCTACTGTTGCATATTTATTGTGTGATATTTGTCTTGTACAACCTTATCAAACAGCTGTGGGTGGGAATCTAGTTTCAGGGTTTGACCCTCATTTGGGGGTCTGGTTTCTATTCTGCTTCAGAATTAAGACAAAGGATCAGTTCGTCACCTGTTGGTAGACTCCCAATCTGTTATTGAGTTTCATTGTTTTGTACATTAAGGAATTTAATTTTAATTCAAACCTCTCCAGTGTGGATTAAATGTGCTAAATTTGGAAATCATGGGCATTGGTCTCTGTGCACAGCCCTCTGCCTCAACCACAGTCAAAGTGCAGCTCTCAGTGGCCTCATAAAACTGGTATCCATACCTTAAATCTACGTTGGTGGTGGTTTTACTTGTACCCATTTAATGTTCATACTCTGCTAAAGTCTTCACTAGGTGTTGGGCGATGCATAATTACATGAGTCATTGACAAGGTTCGCGCTCTCGACTGTGGCTCCAGCGGTAAGTGTCTACTGTATATGGATAAGTATCCACAAATACATGCGACTTACCCACTGCACTGGGTGGTCATTTCATGGCGCTAAGCTAGCGCCTTGGTATAGGAGCACTAGTGGCGCTATCACAGATACTTTGCTAGTGTCGACCTCTCATCCACTAGCAGTGTCACCACTCATCCGCACTTAGCTTGTACAAACACTTGTTTATTTATTCTAATGAATATTTTTGTCTTCCAGGGCTGTTCACCTTGATGACTCCTCAGTCCCGCAGATCCTCTTTTTGGGGATAGCTTCGCCCCTGCCTGCTACTCAGGCAGATCAGCTCCCACCTCGCGTGGGTCCTCGAGGATGGAGTCATCGCCAAATACTGAATTTATTTCATGTTATTGCATCGTTAATAAATCTCCTTTTCTTAAATCCGAAGTCTTCGTGATTGAGCTGCGATGTATGATAAATGTGGCTTATCACAGTTAGCCCAGGGTTACACACAGGTGTCTTTATACTATTTCAAGGCTTCATAAAGTCCTTATGAGCGAGAGTTAATTTCAAGCCTGACTGTGACCCACGACTGTGCGGATGCATATGTTTTGACGCTGGACTGCTGAATGGTTAACTCAGACATCAACACATCAACTCAGACATTACTCATTTTATTAGTGGTACAGGAGCTAGTTGCAGGAAGTAACAGTCATGTTAGACAGCTGCAGGCAAAAAAGAAGTGAGCGAACATTTATAGAGCCAGATTTGTATCAAACAGTTTTTTTTTCTGTAGCTGCTAGCTCTCCGGAATGTTCCAGCAATTTAACTGCTTTCTGCTCACTATCCTGCCGAGATTAAAAGTAAGAATCAAACACAGAGACACAGCTATCCTCAGTTTGTTCTCTTCTTTGTCTTCACGATCAGAACAGCTTGATTAGTTCCCTTTAAAAGAACAGGCTGGGGCCGAATGTACTGGCATCACACAGTCTCCCCTACCTGAAGCACTGATCAAAACGTACCATCTCAGGGCCGTGTAAAACTGCACTGCAAACCTTAAAACAGATATCGCTGAAAACAGTAACTTTTCAGCCTTTGCTGCCCCTTACATACCTCTCACTGTGTATATTTAATTAATTTACATTACTTAATTTGATATTAGAAGATATAAATTAAAGAAATGCAAATCATCAGAATGTGATGAATTGGTCAAGAAGGTGGATCACAAATTATAACACTTATAACACTTAAAGGTATAATGAGTAGGATTCCCCTCAACCCCACCCAAAAAATGTGTGGAATCATTCAAAATAATCCCTTTCAATCTTTGCTTATGACCTGACAGAAATGGATTGCTATGTCTGTATTTACAGAGACCCAGCCATCTGACTGTATTTTCATATTTTTCTTTGTATGGGACATTTCTGGCCGTTAGCCTTTGGACAGTGGGTGTGTAGCTTCCAGCCAATAGCAGTTCACAGGGTGTGAGGGCAGAACATAGCACTGCACTGCAGGGTAGTGCTTCAAGTGTTGTTGAGCTGGTGAGAGGGGCCAACTTTGAATGCTGTGTTTACACTGAACTGACAAATCCTACTCAGTATACCTTTATTTCAATTTTGAATGTGTGCTTACAATACTTGATTTTGCCCTTGGCTAAACGTAATTTCCCTGTTGAACATATGAAAAACTATTCATGAACAGTTCACGCACAGTTCACGATTTAAGTTCATTAATTATTTTAGATTGTTCCTGAACACTAAATGGCCGCTCATGAATTTTGAGCATGAAAAGCATTTATGAACTGTTCGCTAACTTATTCCCGAAACAATCGTGCGTAATTCACGCGTAATATTACACCTGTTAGTCTCACAAATTTTTTTTTGAGGTGACTAAAAGCTAATCATTGTCATCGCACTAAGGACACCCATTTCTCAATTTGCTTTTGCCAAGGATACTGTGGATGTAATTATTTTTTCAATGGATTACCTCAATGATCAGTCCATCCTCAGCAGGGCTTGAACCAGCAACTTGTGGATCATTAGGCCACAATCATTCCACTAGGCCACCTTGCCACATCAGTGGACTCAGAGGGTGGTTTTCCCTCTCTTCCCTCTGAGCTTGATGCAGCTGTACAATAGCTTGAGGCTGTACTGCCCTCTGGTGGACACGCTGATCCAAATTGTCCCAAAGCTGCTCTTTGGGGTTTAGATTGGGGGAATATGGCGACCAGTCCAAAACATCCACTCCTTGAGCATTTAGGAAATTCATGCAGACGCGAGCAACATGAGGACGTGCATTGTCATGCATGAAAATGATGCCTTGATTGCTGCTGATGTTGGGATCAATGTGCCGGCAGAGGATCAGGTCCAGGTACCGATTGGCATTGAGTGTTCCATCAATAGAAACCAAAGGGCACCTCCAGCCATCACGTATAGCAGCCCAAACCATCCCTCCACCACCTCCAAAACAGCTTTGTTGAACAACACAGGGAGCAGCAAACCTCCCTCCACAACGCCGGTAAACTCTGCTTCTTCCGTCATGTCTGTAGAGAACAAACTGTGACTCATCACTAAAAACAACATCCCTCCATCTTGCATCGGGCCAGTTGCGATTTCTGCTGCTGTGTGGGCATGCCCAGACGCTGCGTGTGTTTCGACTGGCAGAAGTGAGCTCAACTCCAGTGAAAGAACAGTAAGGCCCTGGTCTCTGAGGCGTCAACACACTGTTCGGGCACTGATGCGAGGTCGAGCTCTTCCACGGATGACGCCAGCGGTCTAGACTGCAGTCCTAAGATGATCACGCAGGTGGACTGCCCTCATTTAATGATCTTGAGCTGGTTTAATGACATGTGGCCGGCCAGGTCGAAGGCGATCACGTGTACTGCCAGTGGTCTGGTACCTTCTCCACAGGCGATTTATGGTTGATGTGTTGAGTTTAGTTGAAACATCCTTCGGGAAAAATTGTGATGTTCCAAACTTCCCAGATGCACTGTCATGAAAAATACACTGCTTCACACCTAGAAAAGAATTATGAGGTGAGTAAACCTTGCTAATATCTTGCTAAAGATGCTTGAGTCGTGACCTGCCATGACAAATGATTTTCATGCAGTAAAAAAGTGAAAACAAGGTTATTCAGTCGTCAAAATCAACAGGAATTCATCTTTTGAAAACAATATTACCGTGTTTTAAGCCTAAAACAGGTTCCTGTATCTTGACATATTGAATAGTTATCTACATTTTATGTTGAAGAAGGTGCGCAACCATACATAATACATTTGTGTACATTACACATTACAAATGTTCAGGTGCCACAGAAAAACATGGTGTAGAAAAGGGTTAATTACAGCTCAGGTACAGGAGGTCCCATGATTTTCTTGTTTGTTAATTTGAGTCAACATGTGGATGCATCTTTCCAAACTCTTGAATGTTTATCCCTTTGCAGATTTGGTGGGTGTGGCCCCAAAGTTAAGGGACCATGCCCATCTGCCAAAGTATTTGGCCCCTTAGCTCCGGTCTGTATTGAGGTCCCTTCCTTTTTTGTTCACAAAATGTCAAGTGGACATAGCAACGACTTTCTAGCATCAAAAGGTTTCATGGGACCTTGATGCAGATTTGTGTTTTAGCTTGATATGTGTTGCCTAAATAGGCTGTGCGCAGCAAATGTAGGGGGCGCTGCTAAAAATCTGCATCCAGGTCTCACAAAATAGTCCAAGTTGTAGAGCACACATATGTTCCGTTATGCAGTACCAACAGAAACATGGGACCTTGTAGCAGATTTGAGGTAAATTGATTTAAAGTTGCTTGCTGTCACAAGTGCACAAAAGCTTGGGTGTGGTCTGCTCAGCGGGTGAGGGGTTTATCTGAGCAAATTCCATGAAATATCCTTATCTGACCGCAAACATTCACACCCTGAAAAAATGAACTAATTCTGAGATGGTGTTTTTCCACCTGTAGGCCCACCTTCGAGAAATTCACTCTTGAGTATATTTTCGCTGGGTTTGCCTCCATGAAGATGTCTGCAATATTAAGTCATGTGGTTTTTGATTATAGTTTCAATCTTGCCTTCAGTGTAATCTGTTAGGGATTAGTAGACAGAGCGATAATGCTGAAAGACATGTAAGGTGACTGCAGGGAAACTGTCCGGTAGAGAGTCTGAGAGTTAGAGTGACACGTTACACAAGACAAGCCACATAGCACAAGTTTCCGAAGGCTTGGCAAAGTGATAGACCTTAACGATTAATTTGATAATTATGGATTAAGTTGTAAAGTTGTTCATGAAATGTTTTTGAATGTCTGGAGCCCTCATTTGCGTGCAAAAAGCTGTTACACCCACCTCAAAACCAATCCTGTGAGAATTGCACAGCAACAAAAAAGAACGAAAAAAAAAAGTGAGTTTGACTCGAGGGAAGTCAGATCAAATTCAACCCAAGAGGTGAACTCTCACCGACCACCAGGCTGAGCAACAGGAGGCAGCTGGTGCTTGATCGCGCACTTTAATCTTGACTGACTGAAACCCTCCTGTCCCTGAGGGAAGCTGAAGCCCTGTGGGGCTGCCTTCCACAGTCTCGACAGTGCCTTTCAACAATGAATCACCCTGCCAAAAATATAATAATTGCCTTATCTGCATAAACTTCATTTTCCAAGATGTGTGAAATGATATTTTTTATTAACATTTTCCAAAAAATGATTTAAAAAATACTGGCACCCCTGGATTAATAGACTTTTAAATTTCTTTTCCTACAATTACTGAAAATGGTTAGAGGACATACAACCCCAAATCCGAAATAGTTGGGACAAAGCGTAAATTGTGAATAAAGTCAAAATGCAATGACTATCAAATCACACCAGCTAGTATTTTATTCACAATAGAACAGAGATAACATAGCAAATGTTGAAACTGAGAAATTTTACCTTTTTTTTTTTCACAAATTGAGCTCATTTCAAATTTGATGGCTGCTACACGTCTCAAAAAAGTTGGGACAGGGGCCTGTTTACCATGGTGTAGCATCCCCTCTTTTTTTTAACACAGAGTGGAGGCGTCTGGGCATTGAGGAGACAAGTTTCTTGAGTTTAGCTACTGAAATTTGATCCCACTCTTGTTTAATACAGGCTTCCAGCTGCTGGAGAGTTTTGGGTCTCCTTTGACGGACTTTTTGTTTAATTACGCGCCAAATGTTCTCAATCGGTGAAAGATCAGAACTGCAGGCAGGCCAGTTCAGCACACGGACTCTTTTACTACAAAGCCATGCTGTTGTAATAGCTGCAGTATGTGGTTTTGCATTGACCTGCTGAAATACACAAGGCCTTCCCTGGAACAGATGTCGTCTGGAAGGGGGCATATGTTGCTCTAAAACCTTTATATACCTTTCAGCATTCATGGTGCTTTTTAAATCATGCAAGTGTCCCATACCATATGAACTAATGCATCCTCATACCACCAGAGATGCTGGCTTTTGAACTGAACGCTGATAACAGGAGGGGTGGTCTTTCTCGTCTTTAGCCTGGAGGACACGACGCTCATGATTTCCAACAAGAATGTCAAATTTGGACTCGTCTGACCACAGGACACTTTGCGACTTTGCTGCAATCCATTTTAAATGAGCCTTGGCCCACAGAACACGGTGGCGCTCCTGGATCATGCTCAACAATGGCTTCCTTTTTGCATGATAGAGTTTTAGGTGGCATCTGTGGATGGCACGGTGGACTGTGTTTACAGACAGTGCTTTCTTGAAGTATTCCTGGGCCCATTTAGTAATGTCATTGACAGAATCATGCTGGTGAGTGATGCAGTGTCGTCTGAGGGCCCGAAGATCACGGGCATCCAGTACAGGTCTTCGGCCTTGTCCCTTACGCACAGAGATTTTTCCAGTTTCTCTGAATATTTTGATGATGTTATGCACGGTCAATGATGAGCCTTCAAAGCCTTTTCAATTTGACTTTGAGGAACATTGTTTTTAAAGTATTCCACAATTTTTTTACGCAAGCCTTCACAGGTTGGAGAGCCTCTGGCCATCTTTATTTCTGAGAGACATCTCTAAGACATCCCTTTTATAGCCAATCGTGTTACACACCTGATGCCAGTTAACTCAATAACTCGCCAAATGTTCTTTCAGCTGATTCTCTTATATATTAATTGCTTTTTCAGCCCTTTTTTGCCTGTGTCCCAACTTTTTTGAGACCTGCTGCAGCCAGAAAATTTGAAATAAGCTCATTTTGTGGATAAAAATGTAAAATGTCTCAGTTTCAACGTTTGTAATGTTATGTTCTATTGTAAATAACATATTGGCTCACGTGATCTGAGAGTCATTGCATTTTGATTTCATTCACAATTTACGCTTCGTCCCAACTATTTCGGAATTAGGGTAGTATTTAGAATTGAACTTCTTTCATTTGTTGATGTTCAAAACATAACAATTCATAAAAAAACTGCTACATTTTGTGTGAAATGTTTGCATACTTGAAAACCACAGCAAAAGAAACTGATCAGCTTTAATGCGAACAAGAGCTAGCTCTCCGTTAAGGTGAATCAGCACATTTTCTTAAAGACTGCTAAAGCCATGTGTGTGTTTATTGCTCTTAAAAAATATGCTTGCACCACTGGGTAGATTGAGAAAAGGATTGAACTTCGGCGCAGTTCACCTTACAGGCGAAAGATAATTTCTATATGTGACACAAATCAGATTTTTTTTTCAAAGCAATATCAATAACCCAAGTTTGATTTTTTTCATGATTTGGACTTTTTGCCTCCATGGCCCAGATCAGATTCTTATCCACTCTCACTGCCAATCCGACCGCTGTCTGACCGGTCAGAGGTGCGTTCCCAAACAACAATGGTAGTTATTACTGATGATAGAGCAATGGGCTGTCAGAGAAACTACCTACCTAATCACAACCATAATCTCAATATGCATAAATCACAACTGTCCAAGAAATTACAACTAGGCTTTGTTTTAACTTACACATGGCTGGATCAACACGCTGATTAGTTAATAATTTATAGTGTATTCTGCATGTGAATTTGTTGCCACAGAGATGGGTGAAGTTATTGCCAACTTATTTTCATGGTTAGCATT